GGGGGGGTGTGTGCTGAGCTGTCAGCCGCTAGCTCTCAGCGAGCCTGTTAGCGGTCCGTTCAGCAAAAGCGCATCACCAATCGAAATTACTCTGGGCGTCTAGAGCAGACATTCCAATCCGATTCTAACATGCTGTAGTCGCAGAATGGGAAAGTGCAATTGTAAATACAAACAACAACAACGACAACAACATCAAATGAGCAGCGAACGCCCTAATTTCAGTTTCATAACTTTCAATACATGTATACATTCTCTATACACGATGTGTTTCTGCTCAGTGCAGAAAAAAACTACTATTTCGGATGTTAAGCTAAACTGAAGTACTATATTCGCTATGGAAAAATAACCATTTGCTCGCTTTATATAAATAGAATATTTGGAGTGAGCCTAGTCTATTTAAAGACACAAGTAAAATAAACATTCACTGCAAAGTAGTTGCCTACAAGACGCCTTTCTTTGCTTGAATATCTTGGGTCTGAAAGAAGAGAGGAGGTGAAAGAGAATCACATATCAACATAAAAAGGCAGGCTACTTGAGGGTTGATCTCAATGCATGGAAAAAAAGAAACCCTCACAGAACAAAACTTACGATGGTGTACCAAGCTTGCACATTTCAGTTTGTGGGCGGGAGGAAATCTGTGTAGAAGCATCTTGGCGTGCAATTACAATTGTATGTTTACGAACGGACCAAGCATATCCGATAGACACGAGAAAACGATATAATTACCAATTTCCAAGGTTAGAGGAACACACACAGGCCACCTTAATGTCATTATGGTGGATTTATGTGACGAAGGAGGTGGTAAGTGTTCCGAGTCTGAAACTCGGTATAAAACGGTGGCCACCGGTATTGAATAATTACAGCTCTTCAGCCCCTGGCTGCTTGCTTTAAAAGTGCAGAAAGCGCACATTTCCGTGCAAGAATAAAAAACATTCGTGGTTCAGAACAGTAAAAGAATTAGAAATAGATTAGCAGCCCAATCCATTCAAGGATCATTACATTCAGTACCTCACCTTACACAGCCAGC